AATCTGACGTGTACACAAGATTACAGCGCTCACTGTACATACACATGTAAATTTGCGGCGTGCTAATGAAGAGGCCGATGCTGTTGATAATTGTTTGTCAACAACATTACATAGATTAAAGGCGTTAATGGGCGGATTAAGTGTTGCCTGTCAATCTTGCTCACTACTGGTTGTGATTTTAAAATATCTAACAGCGCCTTTTCACAGTAAAGTGACGTGAAAAGAGCAAAGGTCAACTGCATTTATATAGAGTGAAGTGACTAATGCAGAAGCTTTTAAAAATAAACAAAAATAAATTCAGAGATATGTGAATTTTTCACATAAATTTTATTAGTTATGTGGACCTAGTCTCTATATAGAATTTATAGCACTTTTTATTGCCATACAACTTTTTTCTGTAGGAGTAATTGCGCCAAAAATCGACTTAAACCATACATAACTCTTAAAAATTCAACCACGAACAATCCTTGCTTCTCCCAAACTCAGATCGCTCGTAAGTTATCTTTCCCTTAAATTTTGTCATTTTATCTTTCCTTTCCAATTGGTTTCAATCTACTACGAATTTATTTTATTTTTCAAATTTTTCAAAATTTATTTACCCTGGTGTAAGGGTATTCACAGTGTATAGGTAGTTTGGCACAAATCTTCACATTCCTGCCATAATTTATCGAACATAGAAATATTGATAAAATTTTACTACTGTTTTTTATCTCTTTTTTCTTGCTATGATAGGTTACATTCAATGGCTGATCTTCAAGACAGGGATCGGACTTCGACTAGCTCCTAATAGCATTGCTATTATCCTCTGTATTAAATTTTATAGCATGATTTGAATCTAAGTTATAGCATTTATAGCAATTTATAGGTGTATCCATGTTCCCATTTTGATCGATTTTTGGTTGGTTTTGTAGACCACTTTCAAGTGGCATCGGTCATGTGTAGCATATAAATCTACTTAATTGTGCCATAAGTTCTGTTACAACTTCAGGCAGTTATAAAAATAAAAACATAATAAATTTTAATAAAGTTAACTTTATTTAATACTGTCAATATTAAATGTATACAAAAAGGTTATTCGAAATGGTTACCCATGGTTTTCCCACAAGCCCTCAAACAAAACGACCATTGATCAATAGCATCACGCACAGTTTCTACTGGTATTAACGCCGTATTCTACAGACCATGTTCTCCGACTCAAGTTATCGTAGTCCAATGGTTTCAAATCTGGTCTTCCAGCAACAATCATCTGCTACTATAAAACTAGTTATCTTGTTAAAAGTCACCACTAGATACTATTGTCTTGGAAGCTTGTGCAGAATCTCGCTGGAAGTTGGATCTTCCATCGTAGAAAGTATTGCTTAAGCTTTACCACGGCTTCGAAAACATGCTTCTGGTACACTGTTGTTCCAGTTGTAACCCCATTTTCATAAAATATTGGATAGTCGAAAAAGTGTTCTCGTATTTCGACTTTACTTAACCAAATATGTACCATTTTGTTCGATCATGTTTTGCTATTTTTCCGCTAGAGACATTATTCCATCAGTGTACAACTTTTCTGGTTTTTTGGCGGAAAATTGCGACAAGTAATTTTCACATGCTTCTCTTGAAGCCAACTTTACTCCATTAAGGCAGTTCTGCGTTGTCCGAAACAAATGATAGTCCGATGATTCAAGCTCAGGGCTATATGGTGTATGCTTCAAAACTTCCCAGCCAAGTTCTTCCAGTTTTTCCGAGTCATCAAAAATGTGTGTGGTCGAGCGATTTAGAAGACGAAGTCCTTTCTGTGGATCAGTTATGGCCATTTTTTTCGATTGCTTGCTCCAATTTCATCAGTTATTGACAGTAAAATGTAGAAACAATCGTTCGTTCAGGCTGGAGCTGGATGATTCCTTTCCAGTCCCACCAAACACTCAGCATAATCTTTAGCACGTCAATCCTGGCTTTGCGACCATTTCCTGAGCTTCTCCATGCTTGCTCCATGATCTTTTTCACACATTATTGTCGAATTTGATCAATTTTTCGTCCCCTGTTACCAGTCACTTCAGAAATCGATTCCTTCGATTTTATTTCGTTTTGGCAAAGAATCGCCGATGTTAATGCGGTCCATTAAATTTTTCACAAACAATTCATGTGATACCCAAACATCGAGCTTCTGTTTGTAGCCAGCCTTTTCTTAATGGCTCAAAGCCATTTGACACTAAATGTTAAGTTCCCTCGCTGCTTATGTGACGGTCCTGATTATTTTTTCCCATAATTTAATCGACTTTTTCAACGATAGGTCGACCAGTGCGAGGTGCATCTCTCACATCGAAATTTTCAGAACGAAAGCGAGCGAACCAGTGTTGCGCTACATTAACTGATACAGCATCGCTTCCGCAATTTTCACAAGTCCCTTCTTCGCTTTTTAATACAAAAATTTCAAAATATAGCGAATTTCTTGATTATTTCCACTCGCTTTTGAATAGCTGTAACTATTTTTCAACTTCCCCGCATTTGAAGCTTAAAATCTCACCTTTTCAACACTATATTATATGACACAATGTGATTGGTAGCACTGGAGATATATGACTGCAATGACATCTATTGATAAAATACGAAAGATTTCTTAGATTACCCAATATTTGACTGTTATAGCGACTGTATCCAACAAGCTCTGAACTCAAATTGCTTCGACCGAGGAAAACTATCAATACATTTTCAAAGGGAAGAAACGTCAGATGACAATGTCATTATTTCGACATATAGCATAAGTGTGTAAAGTCAAAAGCAGGCTATGTATATGACTTGAAAACAATTTGCTGTTCGTTAATTAGATAGTTCCGTTCATATTTTTGTCTCAACTTCAGCTAGCGTCCTTTATTTTCTCCTTCATAACTGATTGTATTTTAAATTTGAAATACTTCAAGTTTGATATTTTACAGCAATGAGTACATTTATATACTCGCATCACAAAAATTTTCAACAAAAATGCTCTTACATGGCCTTTTTCTTTAGTTTTTTTACGTTAACCCATTATTGTGAATATGTGTTTACGTGTTCTTTTTTCGCAAATTGTTCTTATTCAATATCTGATTTCGATTACGTTCTATCCAGTCATTAGTATTCCAAACTTAAAACGTTGTATTCTGATAAAATAAAGCACATATATGTAGGTCAACACAATGGAGTCGAAGGTAGAATCGGCAATTGCACGTTCAAAAATTTGCAAACATTTTGCAAAAAAACTGAGCAAACAAGCTTATGGCTCAAGCACTGTTTGACAAAAACTTAAGATAACATTTTACCGTTTTCGAATACGAACCAGGAAAAAACCAAGAACGCTTCAGGCAAAGCGGTTAATTCGCAAGTAAGCCTTGTTGAAACACGCTCCGAGTTAGCAATACCTGTAATCGAAATAAGTATAGCAATTACTTGAACACTAAGGGCTGTATAAAGTAATATGCTGGAGCTATTACTGTTTCGAAGTTGGGGGACCAAAGTACTAATGATAAATCCTTATTGAGATTGGAAAGGGAAAAGCAACCAGAAAATGCAATTATGTCGGTAGCTAATTTTGAGTTTTGATGATTATTTTTATCATTTTTCCCTAAATTTTTTCTATTATTAAATTCGAAAAAATTTAAGTAATAAAATTCCGCTTAAAATTCACCTGCCTCTCTTATCGCCAGTTACATACGGTTTGAAGACATGCGAAAACTCGAAGCTCTGCTTATCGCTTAAACATGCTAAGAGTAGCTGCAACATTAAAGGCCAATACATATTATATTCTAATATTAGGGATGTTCTTAATATTCGAAATTTAATATTTAAGCATTCTGATCACCCCTTTTAATATAGTCAAAAGTACTTAATTTTTCTGATTTTAGCTAAGAATTATTATATTCGAGGCTTTGACCAGAATGCCATTTAGTCTCGTGAGCGAATTTTTTATGACCGCAATAACTCAAGACAGTGTGGCTTATCGCATAATTTTGCTTCAGAAATAAATTACTGTCCCAAGAACACCCATCTTGTATGTAAGGGGACGAACTAGACGCGATGTTTCGCAATCGGATCGTCTCGAAATACTTTGTGTATCTCATATAATTAGCAGATAGCAAATAATTGAAGTTTCGCACCATGGTCTATTGTGCCCAGCGCTCTGAATAATTCCAGGATTTTGCTGGATGCGACTGAGCTGATGTGATCCCTGTTCACGTAGATGGATTCTAGGGCTTTGGGCCTGCTAAAATCCGGTGTTGTGGAGTTGGATGTTGAACAAGTGCTTTCTAATCCTGAAGTGACCTGAATGCTGCACGACAAGTCGACGGAATTTGTTTCGGGGGAGATCGATCATATCTTTAAAACTTGCCAGGTTGTAATCTCCGTAGTAGCTTGACGTGGCGCATTCTGTTGTCTACTGCCAGGTCCGTTCTCTCCCCACTCTGTTCTCCGTGTGGAAGATAACTCCATTATGGCATTGGGCCCCACCACAATACATGGTTCTGGTGCCATCTTCCTGGAAGCCGCCGTAGAATGGACTAGCTCGTTGACCAGCTCATATCTCATATACTTTCATAATCCGTAGTTTATACACTTCAAGCCACTCTTGCAAGATTTTTAATGACTTTGTATCAAAGTTTTTTTTCCCAAATATTGTCGTACAAACTATTTATGCCATAAACAAATAGCTATCCAATGTACTTACTTCAATTATCTAAATGTAAACTGCGTTTGTAGAACCTGACATGGACTCAATTCAAGCACGCAGCTGAAATGGACCAGTTGTGGTCCAATTATATTAGATTATTCACCCTGCTTTACTACAAGAAGACTATACCATACGTACATAATTTATAATCTGAAACATACGCTTATCTACAAAGGCACTAATACACAAACACGGAACACACCCGCCTTGAGCTTGGCAATTACTTCCAACACTCTGCGTAAGCTCTTATCAATAAATTTGTACAGAAACTCACAAAGCAAATTTCCACAATTTAGTTACTCAACAGCTTTCTGGAAGTGATGAACGTCAGCTAAATAAACAACATTATTGTCAATTTTTTAGTAATCAAAGTAAAATGCCATGCCTACGCCTAATACTCTTCTTCGGTCTAATGATCGCCGTTCCGCTAACAATGGACGCCGCTGTGTACACTTGCAATATTCAGCTGCTGGATGGTGTGGTGCAGAAGGTATGCCGCAAACTCCAATGTCCCGTTAATTGCTCGAATGGCATATGTAATATGCAATTACAATCTTGTATGTGCAATAAAGGCTACGAATTCATCGGTGGATCATGTGTACCCACGTGCGAACCGTCGTGTGGCGAGAGCCAGATTTGTACAGCGCCGAATGTGTGCGACTGTGCAGAAGGATACGCTTTATTGAACTCTAAGTGTGAGCCATTTTGTAGAACACCTTGCGATGACACACAATATTGTGCTGCGCCGAATACTTGCGCATGTTTGGCGGGTTACAACAACGCCACGACTGGTGGCTGTGAACCGATCTGCATGAACGACTGCGGTGAACATGGACGCTGTAAGGCGCCAAATTTGTGTGAATGCGATGAAGACTACAGTGTACAGGGGCAGAGCGGCTGTGCGCCCATTTGTGATGCAGAGCTTTGCGCCAACGCCGATTGTATTGAACCATATCAGTGCATTTGTCATGAGGGCTATAAGCTTAACTTTGACACCAATAAATGTAAGCCATTGACAGAAAGCGAGGATGATGCGGAAACACAAAATATATTGCACTTAATCGATGTGCGTTCTGGACGTGATTAGGAGTCTTTAAATATGTCTAATGAAATTTTGATCAAAAAATCATCAATTATCAACAATTGAAAAATAAAAAATAAAGAATATATATATGTATATACAATATACATATATATGTATACAAATACACAGCCAATTGCATACTTTTATAGTGGTTGTTTAGCGCAGTACATACGTTTATTGGAAAAAGCGATAAGTGAAAACTATAAGGTGGTATATACTGACTTCATTTCTTTTAGATATCCCTCGTATTGACCAAGATACTCAAGTTAAATTTATATATAAACAAAAAATACATTCAGTAACCAGCAGTTAGGACTACTGAGCGCTTTATTCCACACTGTGTAGAAAACAATCAGTATGTTATTCCATATATGTATGATGTCAAGAGCAAAGTATGAACAGATTTGTTCCATTTTGAGTTTAAACTAAAAAAATATAAAATATTTAAAAGCTCGATGATCCTTATATTATTTTAAATAGAGTACCTGTAAAAAATTAAGAACCGATATCTTCCATTTTTGCAAATTCACAATGGTCTCTGCAAATATTCTCACTTGATTTGATTAAATTCACCTAATTACGGACCGGAATAAAATTAGCAATTCTTGTTAAGCTCATTATATTCCGTACTTGAGAGCTACGGAAACATAAATTGACCTGATTTCACAAAGTTTTACAAGACCGCTTTCAAAGTGTGTGATTAGTTTTTTCGAGACTGCAATTATCTCTCATGAAATGAAGAAACTGATGAAATTCAAAATTAGAAGTAGTCGTAATCTGTTTTCAAACTACAAGGTGCTTTCCAAAGTAAATAGGACTTTTAAAATCTATATGTCGACTAGACCGTTAGAATCTATTATCTTTATCGATTGTCCAGTGAGAATTATATGACATTTCATTCATTTTAAGTGAAGTCATTGTGTTTTAAGTGTCAGTATGTTTGTTATTGGTGCGAAAATAAGTGGTCGTGAGAACATGAATGGAAATCAACAAGTGGGCTAATCAAAATCCGTGATCACCGGAAATTCCATCGAAACTGTGCGTGAATTAATCAAAAATCAGCCGAGATCATCATTGAAATTAATGGAAATGGAATTGAACATCTATAAAACATCACCGACATACTGGCGGTCATACCGGCCAACGAGCTAAAACACTCGTTCGACATGCTTTTGGACCGTGCAAAAAGCTATATTGCAGAAGAGGGAGACTATTTTGAATAAAATAAATTGATTTTGCCAAAAAAAACATTTGTTCTTGAACTGTTTACTTTGAAGCGCTCCTTATATTAAGTCCACATCATATTCGTGTTTTCTATTAATTTAGGTAGAATTTTGTCAGAGGAAATATAAAATATCATTTGCATGTTGGAGCTAAAAATCCCAAAAAAAAAAATTACAAGTAAGTCGTTAAGTTCGATTGCACAGAAACTACTAGTAATACCTTCCAAAAATAGGTCAGTTCATATGAAGAATTTTTTCGGAAATTGCTCTGTTATTTTGGAGAACAATCGATGCCAAATTTGGTGAAGACATTTCGTCAAATAAAAATGGTCTCAATTCAAGGACTATATATTTATCGATAAGTTTGTAAGGCAGCTGTAGGCAATAGTGGTCAAAAATCGTCGATCTCTTCAAGCAACCGTCTTCTTGAGAAGAAAATAAAGTATACAAAGTTTCAGATCAGGATTTCAAAAACTGGGTGATTGAATCTACCAAAGCTTAACAGTGATCATTTATACATATACATATATATTAGCACAAAAAAAGCTCGGAAATTGTAAATACATTTTATTTATTTTATCGCCTTTAATGTAATTTCTGACCAAATTCGGTCACAATCGTTGCTCGATGCGGTAGTGCATTATCATCGTGTCAAATCCATGAATTGTTCTTCCGCAATACCGGTCGTTTTCGACGGACCGTCTGACACTGTCTCCTTAATGACCGTATGTCACTCTGGAACAAGCTCATTATGCACCAACCGGGAGTATCAAAATTTTTTCTGATTTCAGCTCGTTTTTTTCCTCCATTCCGATGATTGTTGACTCCTTCCATGTGAAACTCATAAACCCATGAATGTGGAATGGGAATTCGCACTATCAATCATATAAAAGTGATCTGTTTACGGTACTTTTTTTGGACTCGCGAGAGATGTTGAGCTCTCTTGTCATCTCTCTAAACCTTGGCTAACGATTTTCAAGCACCATATCCTTCATTTATATACATTGAACGGGATATATTAAGTTTATCACAAAGTTTGTAACACCCAGAAGGAAGCGTCGGAGACAATATAAAGTATATATGTAAATGATCAGCATGTTTTTAAGACATCGTTTTGAAATTTTGCACACACCATTTTCTATTCAAGAACTGTCGGAACTGCCGATATTTTCTAAGGCAACAATGTAATCTCCGAAAAAATTGTTCAGATCGGATTAATAATTTATATATAGCTTCCATACAAACTGAACACATCGTTACTAAAAGACATGCACCCGTGAAGGGTGTATTAGCTTCGATGTAGCCGGAGTTAACGTTTTTTCTTCTTTTTTTTAATTTCTTCAATTAAGGGGTTCGAAGGTCGTCCAGAACAAGGCATGTCTTCAACGATCTCTCGACCGTCTTTGAAGGCTTTCTGAGGCACCGTAAGTCGGAGGCAAATTCTTTGCTCGATATTTCCATCCTTTGTAAAATTCGCAATGCACTACTGAGGTGTACCGACTTAGGCAGCTCCTACACACAAAATGGTTGAGAGATCGCGCTCATATTCATAATTAAAGACAGTCCTGGCAACTTAACAAAATACATTTTTTTTTTTTAAATATTATTTATCCTGAGAATTTAATAAAGTTTGCCGGGGGCTTTTTGGTCATAAGGTATACTTCACAGGGTTCCCGACGATTCCTCCTGACCTTCTAGTAAAGTAGCATATTTCATACATTTGGAAAACATTGACGTCAGCGTTTGAACTTAAAGCGAATATACAAGAAATCCTTTATAGAAAATTCTTTCAGGCTTATCTGCTTTGCATGCAACGAAGGTACGCGAGTATAATTTCCTTTATTTAATTTTTTATCGCCTTTGCGTATAAAACCACACCACACACACATGTTGTACAAACGCAATTAATGTATGCGCAATTTATTTTACAAATACATTATTTTTTCTTTTTTTGTTCATATGTATGTATTACTCTTATAAATTTCAAGACAAAGAACAATGGCAATTTCTTTAAGTAATAGGAAAACATATACACATCTTTTGGATATACATATGTATATTTTATCCAACGTCTTTTTAATATTTTCACTTATAGGGTTGCAAACCTACTTTTATTCGACCTTAAGTCCATTGACTTTTTAAGTAGGCAAGAATTTTTAGTCTCCATAATAAATGTATTATTAGCTTGAACTTTTAAAAAGTTGTAAGTTTTCGCATCATTTTCGCTAACAGAACGAGAGACCGCATTCATCTTTAAAATAAATGCTAAACCAAAGCCTTATAGAAACATTATCATCTATTGAATTTATCCTTATAACCGTTTTCCATAAGAGAAAAATTCAAAAACTATGTTGTTCCAAAACTGGTATAAAAATAAGAGACTGATATTATCAAAATCTGCCTAAATAGTAAGAGACTTATACAAAAGGCTTATACAAATGTTATCATCTATTGAGTTTACCCTTATAAACATGTTTTCTCAAGAGAAAAATTCAAGAAAAAAAAATTTGTCATTCTAAAAACTGTAATAAAAACAAGCGACTCCTATTATGAAGAACGGCCTCAATAGCAAAAGACCTATACCACATCCTTATACAAACATTTTCATTTATTGAGCTCACCCTTATAAATGTGTTTTTACAAGAGAAAAATTCAAAACAATATGTTATTCCAAAAACAGGTATAAAAACAAGAGACTGGCATTATCAAAAGTTGCCAAAAACGCCAAGTGACTTATACCAAAGGCTTTTACAAACGTCATAATCTATTGTGTTCACCTTTATAATGGTATTTTCATAAGAGCAAATGTCGAAAACATATTTACATATTAATATCCAATAAGTATTAGAACAGTTATGACATGGCAACACTGTTCAATTTCACAATTTATGCGTTCAATAAATCTTGAAGCTGAATCACTTACCACAGTATATAGCACAGTGATTGAAACGCTTTCAACAACCTTAGACATAGCACTAACGCACTTGCAAAGCGGAAATCAAAATGTATAAATCCAAATTACGGTTATTTCTAATTCAAATCGTTATCTGTACCTTCTTTTGCATTGAAAGTGGTCACGGTAAAGAAATGAACTGTAAAACTTTGTTAATTAAAGGTAAACCACAGAAAATATGTCAATATGTATGTGATGAAAATTGCGTGGACGGCATTTGTGATTTTAAACCGAAGCGTTGTGTTTGTAAAAAGAGTTACCATCCGGAGAATAACAAATGCCAACCGGATTGTGCTGCAGGATGTCCGGCCAATTCCACTTGCATCGAAGGCAGTAATAATTGTCGCTGCAATGATGGTTATACCCGGGACTCTTCCGATCAATGCTCCCCAGTTTGTAGTGTGGATTGTGGCGAAACAAGATATTGTGCTAGTCCTGATGTATGTGCGTGTAAAAATGGGTATGTGGAAATAAGCAATGTTTGTGCGCCTATATGTTCGGAAGGATGCGAAGAGCATGAGTATTGTGGCGAGCCTAACAACTGTCTGTGTAACGATGGTTATACAAGAAATACCGCTGGCAAATGTGAACCTCAGTGCGATGTGGATTGCGGTGAGACCGCTTTTTGCTCTTCGCCCAACATTTGTGCCTGTAAGATTGGTTTCATCGAAAATAAGCAAGACTGTCTACCGATTTGCTCGCAAGGATGTGGCCCTAACGAGCATTGTGCAGCAACAAAGACCTGCAACTGCAACGAGGGTTATACTAGGAATACCACCGGCCAATGTGCACCCCAGTGTCATACGGCATGTGGCGAAGACAGCTACTGCGCTGCGCCCGATATGTGCGCTTGTAAAGTCGGTTACGAGCAAACCGACAATGGTTGTGTGCCAAGTTGTCCACAAGGTTGTGCAGATCATCAGGATTGCGTGGCCCCCAATAAATGCGCTTGCAACACTGGCTACCAGAAAACGATTGATGGTGTCGCACAATGTGAACCAATCTGTGATGCGGCGCTCTGCGGTAATGCGACTTGTCTGCGACCAGGTATTTGTGAGTGTATCAAAGGTTATGCGCGACTCAATGGCAGCATTGATTGTCTACCTCATTGTACGGGCGGTTGTGGGCCGAAAGGTGTTTGCACCGCACCCGATCGTTGTGAATGCATCGAAGGGTATATGCGTAATGGCGACGTATGCATACCCCAGTGCAAATTTGGGTGTGGCATAAATGCACGTTGCACCGCACCAGATGTGTGTCAATGTATAGAAGGCTTTGAAAACAAACCCCTCCATGCATTGGAACAACGTTGTCAGCCAGTATGTGAGCAATCGTGTCCACTCTACGCTTATTGCGCGTCGCCGAATCACTGCAGTTGCATCACGGGCTACAGCGTGGTCGACGATCAATGTGTGCCGCAATGCAAAGACAAGTGTGGCGCTAATAGCAAATGTATTGCACCCGACAGATGTCACTGTGATAGCGATTTTCTGGAGCAGGATGGTAAATGTTTCAGTTCGTCGGAATTGAAGTCGTGTATGAGGGAAATATTATTCATTCGTATGCATGTTTCCTGTGATACCGGTTCATTTGTGATATATTTGATTTATGGTGGACTGGTCGGTTTCGTACTAATATGCACGTTTGTCACTTACAAAGGTGTACAGCACTTGCGCAAAAGAGGTAAATATGTGCCGGCACCACCGAATTTCATAATCACATATCAACCGCACGGTCGTGAAGACGACGATGAGTTCACGAATGCCGATGGCGATCTGGCAAGCCCCAGCTACAGCCAACCGCCAGCCTATAATATGCTAACCACAAAATGTTGAATAAGAAAGACGACTGAATTACATATATTGCAAGTTATCGCGTATTGAATAAATCTATTTCTTTCATTTAATGTCTTGAAACTGTTGAATAGCATAATCAGCCTCATCGTGAACTTTGCTTCAATAGATCATTCCCATGACTTTTTATTTTCACGCGAATTTCATGTAAATTGTTCGCATTTTAATTATAATATTGTGAACTTTGACAAGCTGTCACATCGTTTTTGTCTCATCGATTTTCCATGGGGAATGGCGTCTACCCGAAGTTCGCGATAAGGCTGAATATAATTGAATTGTACGTATAGTATAGTATGTATAAAGGGTTACTATTCGATTAGAATTAAAATATCGTCATATAAAATGTAAAATAACGTAACATCACTTTTCATAAGTTTATTGGTTATATATTGGCTATAAAACGGTTATATATTGGTGTTAGATAACCATCAGCTTTTTTTTTTTTTTTTTTTTTTTTTTTTTTTATTTTTTTTTTTTTTTTTTTTTTTTTTTTTTTTTTTTTTTTTTTTTTTTTTTTTTTTGTTTTGATACGTTGTTTTGATACGTTGTTTTGCTACTTAGCAGGTAATATACTCGCATTTGTGTTCGAAATATTAATACTAAGGCCTTATCACTATTAATTATTCATACTCATTTTGCTGAAATAAATTTAGTTCTTAAATAATTTTTTTTCGAGTTTGTGTTTCAGTTGATTTTGAGTGGCATGACGCAAGCCATTTTCATACTTTTCTTAATTTATAATCGACGAAATTTCGCCAAAAATAAAATAATATCAAATATTGGAAATAAACTGTGCATAAAACACACATCAGATTAATAGAATGAGGCTCTAATTCGAATGGAATATTTTTGTCTTCTTGTCTGGTGTCTACTTTATCCATCCACTTCTGTCAATCACTATAACAACAAAAAAGTTAAAACAACGGAACTTGAAAATAGTCGTGTTCGCATCAGAGAGGAGATCAGAGTATCTCAACAGCTCTTATGGATTGACTTAACACATTTTGGTCAATGGTTTGGGTATAAAGCGCGCCAATCAATCCTACACTCGTACCAAAGGACTTTTGTGTTATACGAAAACGACTTCGAGTAAAAGCTGCAAAACAAGCTACATCGTTGAGAAGTATAATTACACGTCCAAGACGTGGATATTTGAATATGACGTCGAAACTGTGCAACAATCTAGCAAAAAAATTAGTCGAGGCCGAAAAGATCAAAATTTTCTAAAGGTCATCGCAGCCGAGGCTTACTGTCCCCCTCTAGGAAATTCCCCTTGGCGTCAAAACACTTGTACCAAAGGCTTCTCCAATCTTCGAAACTTTTGCTTAACTTAATTCCCGGAATAGCTTTCATTGCGGCTAGCAATTCAGGTCTATTGGATTCAATTGACTTACAACGGTTTCCGTGAAGCGAACGTTTGAGTTTGCTGAATAGCCAGAAGTCACTTGAATCTAAATCATACGAATACGGTACGATATTGCTTGAAAATTTGGTGCAAAACTCGCAAAGAATCAATGTAGTATGCGACCATACATTCTCGTTGTGCAAAAACCAAGAGTTGTTGGTCCATAATTTCGATCTCTTTTTATGAATAGCTTCGCGCAAGGGACGCATACCACTCAAACAGTATTCCATGTTGACAGTTTGGTCGGTCGAAAGGAAATCAATGTGCACAACAACTCGACAATCGAAGAAAACTGTTTTTTATTTATTTATTTATTTAAAAGAGAACTAATTATAAATAATTAATCCACTTGTAAGAATCAGCACTGGCTGCCAGGGCCTTCGGCTCTTAATACTAAGATTATGGTGAAAAGAAAATATTTAGTAAGGTTATTTAGTTGTATGTGGTGTTATATGTCTTTGATGTTACACAGTTTAAGAAATTTATTAAAAGCACTGATGTTATCGCTGTTTGTTGTTTTGAGAAGGTCGGAAGGTCTCTTATTCCCAAAG